GCCCAAAGTCAAGCTTCTCCCAGTTTGGGGGCAGGTCCTTTTGCAAACGGGCCCGTTTTTGCAGATGGGCTTCCAGAGTGAAGTATATACAGATAGACTCAGAGTGGAGAGAAGGGGGCTGGGGGTTCTCAAAGTGGGGTGCCTGAAACATCCGTCTCAGCCTCACCTGGGATCTTGTTTGAAATGCACATTCTTAGGCCCCACCTCAGACTCTGAATCAGAAACTCCAGGGTGGGCCTGGAATCTGTATTTCAACAAGCTCTCTGGGGGTCTCGAAGTGTGAGAGCCTCTGGTCTGGATCATTTTGGTTTTGTAAGTTTGCAAATCTCCTGAGAGTTTCCATCAGTTGCCCTTTCCTCTTGCCCCTTGGCTACTTCAGGGCCTCAGCTGTAAAATGGGCATAACAACACCTGTGAGCCAGGCTGTGCCGTGACCTGGGATTGTAGGGAGGATTGGGACATGGTCCCTGCCTCCAGGAGCACAGAGTCTCGTTGGGGAGACAGCCACGTGCCCGTGGATTTATCCCAGTGTATGACAAGAAGCAGGAGGAAGCGCCAGGGAAGGGAGATCGAATCCATGTGGGGAGGGGTCACGATGTGCTTCCCAGAGCCTCTGACCTCAGAGGCTGGGTTGTGGGTATTTTTAAAATAATTTCTATATTTCTGAATTATTATCAACAGTGAGCATGCACTGTCTTATTTGGAAAATACAGAGAAGGGTAAAGAAGGACATATTAATAAAAATACCCTGTAAGTCTAGCACTGCCCCCCAGCACCCTGCTGTACTGTAAATTAGCTTGCAGTGAATGTCACTGTGTACATTGTGCTAGCCTTTGGAAGGAATATTTTGTTAAATTCCTAAGATTGCAATCACTGTTTTCAATAATATAAACACTTGAATGGCTCTTAAAACTTTGGCCAAATTGCTTTTCAAAAGTCCATAACAATTTCATCACCGCCTCGCTGTTAAGCATTACTTTATTCTGTCGTTTGTTTGGCCAGTGAGCAAGCGCCACCCGTGGTCTCGAGGGGACCCACGGCTCTCCTCTCACGGAGGAGGGTGAGTGGCCCATGCACGTGCTTGTCTGTTTGGGTACCTTGTCAGGCTTAGATATTTTTAACATGAAATTGTAATAATTACCAAACCAACCTTACATTAAAACCACCACCAAGGGTTGTTGATTCCAAGGGTTTTATTGTGAGGGAATAAGTAAATCAGTAATAGAAACAATAATAAACCAAGCGTTCATTGTAACGTTCTCCATGACAGTGAGCAAATGTAAACGGTGTTGAGCAGAGGGGGGTGGCGAGACCACGTAGAAGGCAGAAATGTGACGTGCTGTTGTGCAACCGTTAAAACAATAGTTATGAAGGCTACATAGCAACATACGAAAAGCTGTATCATTTTAAGCAAAACAAAGTTCTGCGTGTGTTGTCACAACTAAGTGACAACACATCTTCCTGTGGACAGAGTGGGAGGAAGGGGGTCCTCAGTCCGTGAGGACACGTGAGCTCTAGGGGGAGGACAGTGCGTGAGCTTTGCCACACTTCCTGCTAATGTTCTCGTTATGGTTTACAGTGAATAACAAACCGTAAGGAAGGAGAAAGCCGGGTTATGCCTGATGGAACACGGCAGTGATTTGTGGGTGCTCTGGGAGAGGCTGGAGACCCCGGCTGGGGGTTGCCCCGAGCCGGGCTGGCCTCTCGGGTGGAGACCTGGCAGGCGTGCCCCCGGGTGCAGCCTGGGTTATTCTGAGCGCACCGACTCCCTCCCGTTCTCCTCCTCCTCTTCCTCTCGCCGCCTCAAAGCCTTACAAAGGTTAAGGTCTCTGAATATTGACCTGGGTCAGGCCACCATTTCCTGGGCCGGCCCTTTCCCCCAACCCCAGCCAGAGAAGTTTTAGGTTTGTTTTTTTTTTTTTTTTTTCTGCTTCACTTATTTTTGGAGAGAAGGATGCAGTTTGAGGGCGCCCTGAGCCCTGGTCGGGAGAGCTGGGGTCTAGTCCTGTTTCCGTCTGTTACTGACTGTAACTTGGGGCCTTCTGTACTGCCCCACCCTTCGGTAAAATAAAAATGCAGGACTAGGGCTCTCGGGCCACCTCTGCCCATCAAAGCCCTCCTCGGTCTGGAAGCCCCACTGAGATGTCCCCAACCCCTCAGACCCTCCACATCGATGGCTTCAGCATTTCCTGCAGGCTCTACCATTTCCACCTAAGCCCGTCCTCACCCTGTGTTCTCACCCTCCTGGCAGGGATCCTCCCAGGGGTTTACGCATTATTATAAGGTACAGAAGCAGCAGCGCACTAGGCCTGGGTTCAAATCCCAGCCCCGCCACTTGCCAGCGTGGGGCCCGAGGGTCTCAGTTGTCTCATGTGCACAATGGAAACCAGAGAGGATCAGAGTGCCTGGAGCAGTGTACTCCCCTTCACTCCCTCTTCTCTCTTCCCTCTACGCGTGTTTGTGTGTTTAAACTTTCTATCCAAGTAGAATATATATGCAGAGAGTTTGCCCTTTTTTCAAAGTAATATGTGTACCTGGCTTAAAATTCAAATAGTAGCAAAGGGTTCATGATTAAAAGTGGCAGCCCCACACCACCTCTTTCCATGCACTAGAATTTTCCATTGCATATTTTTAAATTTAAATTTAAATGCATATTTACTATAGAAAATCAGAAAATGCAGACAAGCAAAAAAAAAAAAAATTAAGCATAACACATTTCAATCCCACTTCTCATTTTAGAGTGTCTTCTTCCAGATGATTTGGCCGTGCTTTTTTTTTCCCCCAACGAGGTCCTCATTGTACTTTTTCTGTGCATTGTATCTCTAATCACAGTCTGCCTTCAACTAAGGGACCAAAATGGATATTCGTTGAGTAAAAACTTGCAGTGAATTGCAAGATCCTTGCTACTCAAAGTGTGCCATTAGCACCACCAGGAAGCTCGTTAGAAATGCAGCGTCTCAAACCATCTTATTCAAAAACTTAAAGAAAAAAAAATTTTTTTAGAAGAAATGCAGTGTTGTGGGCCCCACCCCAGCTTCTGAGCTTTAACAAGCTGGCGGTGGCTGCTTGTGCAGGGAGGGCCTGCAGGGAGGGCCGTGCGGATCAGAGCCACGCGAAGGCGCCACTCACAGACCGCCGCTTTCCGTTCTGGGCAGGAGGCTCGAGCCAGGTGGAAACAGCACCGGCCGCGGCCTCTACAGAGAAAGGCCTGCTGCAGAGCACTGTCAGCAGGGCTGAGCAGTGTGATTGATGAGGAGGGTGGTTTACATTCTGGCCCAAGCTCCTTATCTTGTCAGGTCCCAGGGACGCAGTTCGGGGGCTTGACACTGCCAGCCGACCGCACTGAGAGCAGCACTGTGGACCACACGGTTGGCAGGTGGAGGCTGGGACTGGGTTTCCCTGGATTTAGCTCCCGGTCTGTTCTGCTCTGTGTATCTGACCCTCCTACCTGACCATCACATGCACATGCACACGCCAGCATGTGCACACACATGCGCACACACGTGCACACACACACATGGCCTGGGAGAGCGCTGGCCCAGACTCCACGACTAGGAAACATCTGTCTCCTGAGTTAGACTGCGGCCCCCATCTCCCTGTGTCTTTGTCGGCATGGGGCCTCTGTTAAAAGGGTTTTACAGCAGGGCCACTGCCTCCTTCTCAGCTCCTCCTGTCAGGACCAAATGGGACAGGGGACTTGCAGGACATCCTGAGTCGAGAGGCTAAAAAGCTCTGGTGGACTTGGAAGGAGACACAAAACAACTCCTTGCTTGGCTCAAGTCCCCCCGGGATCCCGCGGTCCATAGATGATGCTGTATCTACACACCCCAGGCCAGGCCTCTGCCCGCAGGACTGGGACCCAGTGAAGGGAAGGTGTTGATTAGCAAAGTCGGAGCCGGCCCCATCTAAAATGCCACGTGGCCTTTGGTCTGCCCTTAGTGTCACCTTCCCCAAGGAGCTCAGGGCATCCCATAGGTTTAGGTCCCAGGGTTGATTTTTACTTGGGCACTGGGAAGACTCAGAACTTTCTGACAGCACAAATTAGTTAAAAAAAAAAACTCCGCAGCCAGCGTTTGAATTTCCAGGCCACTATTCTCTGGCTGTGTGACCTTAGGGAAGTCACTCAATCCCTCTGAGCATCAGTTTCCTCATCGGTAAGGTGGGGCACAGTCTTGACATCACAGCGGTACTGTGAGGACTAGCGGCAATGTCTGTGAAGTGCCTGGCATCAAGCCATTTGTTCACTCACTCACGGGGTCGTCACGTCTGCACTGAGCACCTTCTGCGTACCTGGCCCTGGGGGTGCGTGAGGGGCTGGGGCTCCCAGTCCAGCAGGGACGCTGGAGACCACGCCCCCTGAGCGAGCTGCAGGGGCACCGCAAAGACTGCGCAGGAAGCCCGTGCCGGGGATCGGAGGGTTTCACAGAAGGCCTGATTCTGAGCTCAGATCCCAAAGACGAGCGGGCGCTTACGAGGCAGAGCAGGGGGGAGCGTTCCAGGGCACAGTGGGGACTGCTGGTCCTACGACCCAGCGTGGGATTTTGGCCAGGGAGAAGGGGTTGCGTTTATTTTACTCTTCAAGGTCAAATTTACATACAGCAAAATGCATGAGCTTTAGCATGCAATCCCGTGTAACCAACACCTTTGTCACAATATAGAACGCCGCTGTCAGTTTGGGTTTGTCTCAGTAACTTTGTTCCCTCCTGATATTAATAAAAGTTGGGGATCTGGGTTTCAAAGGGGACATTTCGTCATGGTGCTGAGGGATAAGGCTTTGGGCTGTGTTTAAATACCAACCCCACCACTTTCTACTCCACTTCTGAGACAGTGAAGTAGGGTTAATCGATCCCACTCGACAGGGCTGTTCAGGGGATCGAATCTGTGAGTTCCCGGAGTGGACACGGAGGCGAGGGGCAAGGCAGGCTCGGCCGGCACTCGGGCCCGGGGCCAGGCCTCCCAGGGCAGCTGGCGCGCACCCTCACCTGGTCTCTCTCTTCGCAGGGATGTGCCTGCAGGCGTTCGTGGAGGCTTTCTTCTTCCTGGCTCAGAGGAAGTTCAAGACGCTGCCGCTGCACGAGCAGGTGGCCTCGCTGATCGACCTGTGCGAGTTCCACCTGTCCCTGCTGGATGAGAAGCGCCTGGTGTGCGGCCGCAGCGGCCCGCTGGGGGGCCGGTCCCCTCACGGCAGCACCGCCCAGGAGCCCTCCGCCTCGGCCCAGCCGGCGGGGGGCCACGTGCTGCCCCGCGTGAGCTACACCAGCAAGCTCTCCTACCCCAGGCACACCCTGTCCTGAGGGCCGCTCCGTCCTCCCGGAAGACCAGAGCGCCCTTCAGGGCCGAAGAGAGCGCGGGCTCCCGGCCGGCAGAGGGACAGCTGGCCGCGGGGCTCCCCGGCCGGGACTTCCGTTACCTGTCCGTGCCCCGCCGGGCTGCGCTTGGCTGGGCCTGCCTGGTTCTCGCCCACCCTCCTCCCGGCGCCTCTGGGTGATCCACCCTGTTTGCGAGTCATCCGTGGACATATGACATCTAAACAGTGACAGATGGCACCTTCTATTCTGGGCTCGTGGGAAGCACCGGCTGGGGCAAACGTGCCGTGTTTGGGGCGTGGGCGCAGGCAGTGCCAAGCCGGGGCTGGGCACAGGAAGCCGAGCGCTGGGTCTGTCGCGGCCCCCGAGAGCTTACTGGTTAAAGCCCCCGAGAACATCATGTCTATTTCCTACCACCCTTTCCATGAAAAGGAAGTGGAAATACCTCACAGGTGTCCGAGAACGTCCCACCCCCATCATGTGCTACACGGATGTAGTTACCAGGTTAGCCTCACTCCATCAGCCTGCCTGTTGCTGCGATGTTTGGTCGGTTATTAAGAAATAATTTTAAGAAGTAACTAAGTAAGGCTCCTACAGACTCAGAGCAGACAGAAGCCTCAGAGATCTTATTGTTTGATTTTGTTTGACCTTGACCTCGAAGCAAGAATCTCATCTTCAGGCTGGTCCGCAGGTAGTGAGTTATCTCACTTGATTGTTCGCAGTTACAGATCGAACTCCTTGTTCTAATACTTCCCCCCTTCTCACTACTGCACTTGATTAGTCAAAAAAAAAAAAAAAAGAATCTCATCTTCAGCCTCCCTCACCAGATGGTCTGAGTGGACCCCTGCATAGGTAGAGTGTTGGCCAGGTGGCCAGCCAGTCCCCAGCAAGCACTGCCGGGCGGCCCTGAGTGCCCAGCACTGTGCTGGGCTCCAGGGGCCGGGGGAGGGGCTTGGGGGTCCATGTGGCCCTTTCCCAGAGGGTCCCCTTTGAAGGGAAGAGCTGATCCTCGCGCTCCGAGTGACCAGGACGAACGTCTCTGAGGGACTCGCACGGTGCCTGGTGCACGGTAGGACTCAGAAATGCCCTCAGTGCAGGGCAAGGGCAGGGCCGTGGGAGGCAGAAGTACATCTCAGACAAGTTCACGTCTGTCTCCTTCCTCCCTTCTAACCTGTCCTGTCTCCGGATCCGAGCCCACCTTGCGCAGACTGGTGAGAGCCGTTGCCTCAAGGCCCAACACAGAGCCTGGCGCGTAGTAAGGACTCGAAAGGCGTCTGTCCCAATGAATTGCTTGAATGTGGCCTCCCCAGGGTATTTTTAAACCCAAAGAGAAGGTTGTTGATCCAAGATCGCTCCACCTCTTGGCTAACTGTTTTAGAGCAGGGTCCCCTCTGCTAATCCTCGCCCAACCCCCCTTCCTGCCAGAAGCCTAGTCCCTGGGGAAGTGAACCTGGCCGCCAAGCCGTGCCCCTGCCCTGCCAGGGCGTGGGGGAGCCCCACGGCCACTGCCCTTCCCGGCAAAGAGGGGCCCTGGGACCGAGCCCTGCAGAGCCCGCTGGGCTGTTTGGTGACAACCAACACTTTCGCAATGACTGTCTTTTCCCAAGTAGAAAGCAGACAGGCGGCCTAAGATGGGAAGGGCGGGATGAGCCTCGTGAGGTGCCTTGAGTGCCTCCTATAAGGGGGCATGTTAGAGGTGTCATCGGTGCAATTCTCCAGTCCCCTAGCGGTTTCCTGTCGCTGTTCTCATCTTCAGATGAGGCCAGCAAGGCCTGGGGGGTCAGGACTTGGTCCAGGTCTGTCTGTCGACTCTATGTTGCTGGTGAGCATGAACCCAGCTCCAAGAACAGAGCCCCGGCAGGCCCGCCCTGCTCTGGGGCTGTCTGGGGTCCTACAGGCCTCTGCTCACTGTCACATCTGGTGGCACGGGTCAGAGCCATCAGTGTCCCCAAATGGTCCACGGTGAGAAAGTCTGCAGCCTCCAGGCCCGCTCTTCCAGCCCCTTTTGGCAGAACAAATGGATGTCATTGCGAAAGACCCGAGGAACAGTGTCTGGGCATGCGTGCCAGCCGGGAGCAGCGAAGGGTCTCTCAAGCAGAGCTCCAACTTCACCCCATTTCTTGGTCTTCCGACAGCACGCACTGGCCAAAATGGAGTGTAACTTTCAGGTCTAAAACCAACCAAGCATGCTGAATTTTAAAATATATGTCCAGAGGTTGAATTCCAGCCACATTGGGGTGATATAGAAACGTCAGCTCTAGGGGTGGGGAAGGTCCTCTCCCACCCCGTCCTGTCATCGGGAGGCAGGCGTGGTGTCCCTCTGCCCTAGGGGGAGCCCCCTCCTCTGCAGACAGGGCCCTGAGTAAGCCGCGCACCCCTGCGGGACGCAGAGCCTGGGCGTGCGTGTTAGGGAGTAGTTGCACAGAAAGAATTTAGAGGCTGCTCCAAGATCAGGGTGAGTGAGAAGAGACTCATCCCCCCACCTTGGAACCCAACAGGAAGTCCCGCTGCCTTCACCCCCTTTGGTAACTGGCCACTCACTCTGTGGAGTGCAACCGAAGCCATAGCGGAAGCCGACGGCTCCTTCCTCCGGGAGGAGGGAAACAGCGGGGAGCTCCCGGTAGCGCGCAGTCCCCGTGCTCTGCTGCGGGATCAGCCCGTTGCCTAGAAGGGCCCTCAGGATGCGGCCCCGGCCTCTCCCTCACCATCTCTGGCCAGGGCTTCACCTGCCCCCCTGCCTCTCCCCCCTCCAACCCACCCTCCGTCCCTGTCGCCCTGGGGGGAGCTTGGCCAGCATAGCACTGCACCGACCCCTACTGCAAGCTGCCGTCAGCAAGGCTCCTCATCAAGTCCCTTCCTCTCCTTCCATCCCCAAACCCACGCCAGGCCCCCACACCTCAGGGGCAGGCTCGGCCATACCCCCCAAGCCCGCCTGTGCTCCCAGGGCTCTTTGCGCCTGTTGTCCTCAAACAGGAAGAGGACGTGCTACTTCCCGCAATGTAGGAGGGCCGCGGGGCGCAGACCTGCCCTGAGCCCCCACCCTTGCCTTCCTGCTGCCTCTGCCTGGGACGGTCTCCCTCTGTCCAACGGCAAGCAGACAGCTCTCGAGGACCAGCTCGAATGTTCCCACGGCAATCCCCAAAAGGAAGGAGCCGCTCCCTCCGTATTCTCCTGAGAACCTGGAAAGTTCCTTTACCACCATGCTTGCCCGTGGGGGGTCACGGCATTTGCTCTCACCCGTGTGCTGGATCCTTGTGGGTCTCTGACGCAGAGCAGGGGCCCGGCCGGTGCTCATTGACACAATAGGAACATCCCGCAGGCCCCGGGCGAGGACACAGCGCCGCCACTTGCATTGTCCTCTAGCCTGAGGATGGCTTATGGGTCACGGGCTCTAGACCTTGCCAAGCTGATCTGCTAAACTCCTCCCCCGAAGCGGCTGTCCTCCTGTCTGTCCTCCCCACGGCCCAGCGCCGGGGCAGCGTTGTCATCACTCTGTCTTCACGGATGGGGGAGCTGATGTCCAGAGGGTCCAGTGACTTATCCGAGGTCGTAAGGCTGGTGAAAGGCGGAGCAGGATCCGATCCCACGCCCCGTCCTCAGCTCAGCGACTGCTCCGCACAGTGCCCCAGCACTCCCAGCAGGGTCCCACTGTCCAGACATGACACCTTCGTCCCAGAGAGACTGGAGTTTGCTCAGCTCGTACCTGGGGTCCGGGGACATGGCTCGGGGCTGTCTGACCCACTCTTCCCACCTGAGCACCCAAGGAGGCTTTGGGGGGGCACCCCAAGGGCTCTAGGTCCCGCATCTGCATGGCGGGGGTGGTGTGTCCCTTGATCTTTGGGAACACAAGATGAGACTACAGAAGGCATCGTAAAGGCGAGAGTGCTTTGTAAACGAAAGTGCCGCTCACACGTGCTGTCTTCAGGCCAGCTTCCGCACTGCGAAGGGGACGGAGGGGAGAGCTCTCTCCTGAGCAGCGGCATCCGTCAAGACAACGAAGCCACCACGGCCGGTTCCTCCTCCCTCGCCCACCTCCCCTTCGGCCTCACACATTCAAAGACACTCGCAGGCTGAAAAATGGTTCCTGCCACTGCTCGGACGCCGGGAATTTGCCTTGTGATTGGCAGAGTGTCACTCCAAGACAGCTTCATTTTTCTTTCTTCTCGCGACTGACGTCCTGCACTCGTTGGCCGTGCCATTGCGAGCTGGGCTCATGACCATCGGTGTCTGAGCCGCTTCCCTCGAAGCTCAGACACGACGGGGCCCCATCAGGGAAACGGTGTCCCCGTGGCTGAGAGAGCTGGCCTCACTCAGAGGGGCAAAGTCCCCACAGCGCAAATTAACCTTACATCCCCCCTGCCTTCATTGATGTTTCTGCCGATCTCCTATTTGGTTTGATGAGCGAGGGAGAAACTTTCCCATACTGTGATTGGATTTCTCCCTCACAAACCTGGTCAATTTTTTTTTTCCGTTCCCAAAGACAAAGGGGCTCTGCAGACCAGTCCACATACTCAGTCACCTTCATCCCTGGCAACCAAAAGTCTTGATTTTTATATAACCAGAAAAAGCACGCAGCAGAATGCTTTCGCACACACACCAACACGCGTGCACCGACACCGCTGAGCTTTGGTACAGAATGGCAAAATTACTGATGTTTTTCTCACGCCCGGCAGTTTGCTTCTGAGTCTTATTTGGAGAGCAGAGTGAAAAGGGCTCCGTGAGCCCTGGGGCAATGTAACTTGCCCACTAAGAGGCTCGTGGGAAACATCTCCAACGGGAAGGCGCTCGCTAGGATTCCAACCAGGCCGGGGGCCAGGCCAGGGGACGTGGTCTGCTCCTCACCCTGCTCCCGGGCTGCAGGGACATTTTCCCTTCAGAACGTCTTGCATCAGGATGGGGGCGAAACAGGTGGGCCGAGAATCCCAGAGGAGGCCGTGAGCTGTTCTGGGAAGAGCGAGAGCGTTGGGGTCAGACCTGGGTCTGGACTTTGCTCCGTCACTCTCTCGCTAAGTGACCGTGGACCAGAGACTTCACCTCTCTGGTCCCTGCTCCTCGCCTGGACGGAGGAGGTCATGTCCTAATACGTGTAAAGAGCCTGGCGTGGGGCTTGGCACCTGGGAAGTGTCTTAATGTGTGTCTGTTGAGAAAAGGAGTGTTCTCAACGTGCGGGAACTGTTCGAGTCTGCCCATCTTGACGCCCCCCAACAGGAGGCTCCTGGGGGTCTGGGGAGAGGCCCCCCAGGGGCTCAAGCCCTCCCAGCTCTGTACTGGGCCCCGCCTTTAAGAGGCTGCAGCTCCTGCCTCTTAAAAGCCTTTAAAATTTCTTTATTAAATTTTCATGGCACATAAAGTCAAGGTTCTGTTACTTGGCCTCAGTTGTCTTGGTAACTTCGTAAAATGCAATAATAAAACGAAGCTGAGTGTTGCTAAACACAGGCTCATTGTATAAACGACTACAAAGTATTGACAGTTTGTTCTGTGTGATAATTTCTGACAGCAAATCCACCGGGACGGACAATGCTTGTTCATCCGGGGTCCACTGGTGGAAAAAGGACACCTTTTAATTTTTTCTCCCCCAGTGGTTAATGTTTGCCCAGGAAGCTGAATATGGCCTCTGTGAGGGCCTGGGGGAGCCAGAGAGAGGAGTTTGCAAAATCCTCCAACCCTTGATCTGCTGGGGACAGTCTTCCCTAGGGAGGGAGGGACCTGTCCCTAGAGTCTGGCCACCTGTCAGAGACTGTGGCAGGGACACCTGCCTGGGAGAGGGAACGGCCCCTTGCAACTCTGGGATGCAGCAGTCCCTGCGCACGGCTCGCGCTAAGCAGGTGTGCGTGTAAGTTTCTCCCTCACGGGGAAGCTGGAGGCGGCGCCCCCTCCCCAGAACGGAACTGTCCGAGCTGCACCAAAGGGGCGATTCTGGTGCTGCTGCTACACCTGGTGGCTCTGTCCCTGGGAGCAGAGGCCCTCACGCCCTCCCGCACCACCTCCCCCTTGGCCCTCTGGGAGCCGCATGTATCTGCGCTGAATATTTCCCAGGCTGTGAACCACCTGGTGGAAAGTGAAAAGCAGATGGCCCCGAGTTAAAAATAAAGTGAGACCCCAGCTCCCTGGAATCCCCGCCCCCATCGGCATCAGAGAAGCGTTCATCTCACACAGCCCCCCTCCAGGGAGGCCACTGAGGCAGGCCGTCCCCACCGGGAACTCCTTTGGACCCCTCGGACTTGCCAGTTTATGGACCGTTCAGATTCAGCACGTTCCTCGTGCTCCTACCGTGTGCTGGCCTTGTGTCCCGGGCTCCCGTGTCACAGGGCGTGGCTCTGCAGTGCTGTAGGGCTGTGGCCCCACTCTCTGCTGGAGAAACCGTGTCTGCCTGCCTGAGGTCCCGCAGCCGTGGGGTGGGGGCAGCTGTGGCAGCCTGTGAGGTTAGAACCTTGCGCACCCAGCCCCGCACGTGTTCGGGGGGTGGGGCGGGGACAGGGGGGCTGGAGGAGCCCTCCACACACCCCAGGGTCCCTCAGGGCTCAGACCCCACCTCTGTCTTTACCCCAGGCAGCTCCAGTCCCCACTGCGATGAGATGGGCTTGTTGTAGGATCGATCCACTGCTGCTCTGCTACCCCACCATTTCCCAGACGGGGAAAGGGGGTCAGTCTTACCCCAAAAGCCCACAAGTGAGGGACTCTGGCCCTGTTTGATGAGAGGAGAGAGCAGGAGCCAGGCCAGCCCCCAGCCCACCAAATACCCACGGCCAAAGGGAGCCCAGGGAGCCTCTGCACCAGGGGTTTTAAATCCAGATTCCACGGAACTTGGAGCAGCTCAGCTGTTCTCTGTTTTCTATATTGGGCTTGCGTGTAAGCAAGAGGCTTCCAATGCAATCACGATTACTTCCAGCTGTTTACTTACGGGGTACATTCCAGCTTTTCACAAAGTTGAGAGCCTAGGAGAAGTAATTCACCCAAGGTCATGACCACAACAGCATCTTCCCACAGCCACCTGAGCCAGCCGTGACCCTGCCACCACCCCAGCCACTGGACCACTGCGCCACGTGGCAAATGTGCGCATCACGCTGTTGGTCACTGGGCCAGCTCGCACCGTGGCCCAGGGAGGAGTGGGCTCCCCCAGATTAGATTGATGTCTTAGTCCGCTTGGGCTGCCGTAACAAGGTGCCACAGACTGGGTGACGTCTAAACAACAGAAACTTGTTTCTCCCAGTTCTGGAGGCCGAGTCTGAAAGCACAGTCCCAGCACAGGTGGGTTCGTTCTAGTGAGAGCCCTTACAGGCTGCAGACCCGTGGTATCCTTGCCTGGTGGAAAGAGGGTGAGGGAGCTCTCTGGGGTCTCTTGCATAATAAGGTCACTGTTCCTATGAGGGCTCCACTCTCATGACCTAATTACTTCCCAAAGGCCCCACCTCCTAATACCATTGCATTGAGGGGTGGGATTTCATCAGATGACTTTGTGGGGATGCGAACATGCAGTCCGCTGCGGCCAGCTTCTCTCGTGCCTGGCAGGATGGTCGTCGGAACCCTCGGGGGCCAGCGCTGGGCCTATGTCTCACTTGGCTCTAATTATCAGACCCTCGGGACCCACGGCAGGACCTTCTGGAGCATTCTCCCTCAGCAGCTCTTCACTCGGCACTGAAATAGATCTCCTCTGAGCTATTTCCGGAGCCAGCAGCAGTGGGCATCGGTGGGTCACTGGGTCTATCACCAGCTGCACCGGGGTAACATAGACCCCAGACCTTGGCAGGCGTGGCCCAGAGAGGCCAGCTGCAAGCAGCCACTTACTTGAAGCCTCATGTTTCAGCTTTAAAAGTCCTGTAAATGTTGCATTCTGCTCCATGTTATATCCGTATTTTAATCAGGCAAGGTTAGGCTACACTGAACAGATCACAGATAAATGCCCGGGTCTTGGTGGCTTAACACAGCAAAGTCTATCGTGGGGCCGGTGGCTCTTGGGAGGACACTCCTCCACCAGGCTCTGGGCAGCCACCAGCCTGGGCTCGTTCCCCCAGCCGTGGCCTCCCAGTCCTCTCGGGCAAGATGAGAAGACAGGAGGGCGGCAGGGGGTGTCGTTCAGGGAGGGGCAAACTCCACTTCCACCCACGCTGGCACGATGGGAAAGGTGCCCTTCCGCATGCCCAAGGAGAAAAGCGTGCAACAGGACTTGGTGAACACAGAGTATTGTTTTCAGCAGGATTCATATTTGTCTCAATATATAAAGCAAGTCAAAACAACACAAAAAGGTACACAATCCTGTCTGCCCGTTCTCCGGCTCTATCCCCAGAGGCAACTTTTGCTTCCGGGTTTTGTGTGCCCTTTCAGAGACAGTCTGCACATGATCTGTGCAAGAATTCTTACAATTCTTGTGTAATCTGCTTTTTCTCTTTTTTATACACTGGCCTTCACCCTGCTTTTTGCACATAACACTGTTTCTTGAACATTATTGCATGATACATATGTGTAGGTGGGCCTCAGTTTCTTAATGGTGTCCTGGCGTGCCATGTTAAGATGTGCTCTAATTATGTATGATATTGGAGTTTCCTTAACTGGTCCCCAATTGATGCATTTCAGTTGTTTCCAGTTTTCTGTTACAGGAATGTTGCATGGACTGGTCTCATACACGCACCTCTATGCGCACGTATGTGTCCTAGAAGTGGGATTACTGGGCCAAACGGCGCATGCATTTTAAATTTGGCAATCAGTATTGCCAAACTGCCCTCCAAAGAGGTTGGACCAAGTTTCAGTCCCACCAACAATGTGAGAGAGGCCGGCTCCCCCATCCTCTCTGACACGGAGTATCGTCGGAACACGAGCTTTCCCAGTGGAGGGATGAAAACGTGGCAGCATTTCATTAAAGGTTTCATTTTCATTTCTTGCATTACAAATGTAGTTGAGACTCTGCTTCACTCGTCTCTCTACTGGGCTTTTTCTTGTTGATTTGTAGCATCTCATTGCAGATGAAAAGAATTAGCCTTTTGTCATAGTTTTGCAAAATATGTGTTTCTACATGGGCCATTTTCCGGCAGCCACCTGTCTCTCTGCCTCCAGCCCACTCTGCACAGGCTGTCAGCGTGGCCTCTCTGAAATGCCAAGGCGATCGTGTCACCCCCATGAAAACACAAAGAGGCTTCCCATCACCAGCATCCAGCTCACTTTCCCGCCTGGTTTGGGGGTGTCCTTCCCATTTGGGGCGCAGCTTCCCCCACCCCACGCACAGGGGCACGGCATGCGGCGCTGCACGGAGGGGGGCGCACGGGGTGGACGGATACACCCATAAGGACCTGCATGTGTGGCGTCCCCTAGAGGGGAGCTGCAGCGCAGCCCTGCAGAGCTCCTGGAAACCTCACCTGGGCCTCCCAGAACTCTCTGCCACTCCCCAAGGCCCCTTGCTCTGTCATCTGCTTCACCCCCTCCTTCCGCCCCTAACACACTCACCCCTGTGGGCCTGTTGGTGGCCGCCTCCTCTGCAAGGCCACCTTGCTCTCCAAGGCCGGCTGGCCCCCCTTTAACCCACGTCATGGTGACTCTCTCCACCGTGTGCCCTCCAGGCAGGGCTGTGCTCCCGCACCACGTCCTGACCCCACCCTGCCGGGCTGGCACTCAGGAACTTGCCGAATGAGTGACTGAACTGCGGCTCCCGGCTCAGTGGGCGGGAGGGGTGAGGAGTGAAGGTCCACAATCTCCTCCTGCCTAATTTAAAGCCATGCATTTACCCAATAGGCTGTTCCTTCATATAAATTTCCATTAAACACTTTGTAAAATGCAAATTTTTTAAAACGCTGCAGACCTGTCCTTTCCAGGTAATTATGGTCTGCCCCTCGAGTCTGCAGTGAGGGCCTTTTTGGTTAGCAGGTCTAGTGTTCTTCTTAGATTACAAATCAAGGCCTTTTCAGAGAACAGGTTCTCTGCCGCCCCCTCATCCCCTCATCCCCAACGCCTCTGCCTTCAGGGTCCCCCAGGGATGTGGGGCCCCAGGGACCCTTCACAGTCTGCCAGGCAGGTGGGGCGCCGGCTCCGGAGCAGCTCCTTCTCCCCCCATCAGCTTCCCGCCCCCGCTCCAGCCAGCCCTTGCTGACCTACGCCTCCTAAAACGGGGCATGTGTCCCCACCTCTCCGTCTCGGCCACCATCACCCCCAGGCACCTGCAGGACCTCCGGCTGCTCTGCCCACCTCCACGTCTCTGTCTTGCTGCCAGCCCTTCCCTGCACCCTGGGGGATCCTTAATAATCTGAGTTGATGGCCCTCCTGCTTCACTCTCCTCCGTGGCTTCCCCTCCATTGGAGGAGCAAGACCAAGTCCATTCCTGGCCCCCGCTGGCCCCTCCGGCCGCTCCTGTGGTGGGGTCTGTGCCTTTGCCCAGGGCCCTGCCAGCGCCCCAGGGCCTCCTGGCAGCTCCTATCTCCCCAGCCTCTGACCTGCTCAGCTGGCAGGGCTTAGGTTTCACCCACTCCCT